GGATAGAGAGACCGGGATGGTTTTTAATGTGAAGACAACAACAACAACAACAACTAGGTAATAGCCTTGGTAGACGCGTGCGTTTTTCGTCTGTTGTTGCTGCTGTTTCTGTTTTTGATCCGAAGGATAGTTTAGCCTCCCCCATGCTGCCCCCTCACGGGGTCCCAGTTCATGGTAGATAGAAGTGTTTTGTGTTTTCAACCGCACTAAGACTGACGTCTTTTCATTGGTCAGCCGGTTAGCGCGCGATGCTAATAATAAAAAAAANTTTAGCCTCCCCCATGCTGCCCCCTCACGGGGTCCCAGTTCATGGTAGACGGTGCATGGTAGATAGTGTTTTGTGTTTTCAACCGCACTAAGACTGACGTCTTTTCATTGGTCAGCCGGTTAGCGCGCGATGCTAATAATAAAAAAAAACACACACGGACATCAATTTGAGAACAGTAAATAATTCAGGGGTCGGGCTGACAGGCGGTGTTATTCAACGTGCGCAGAACCCAGGCGGGGAAACAAAAAGGACCCATCTAAAACAGTTTCTTTGCGAAAAAAAAACTCCGCTACATATCGCTCCGTAATTTTTTTCGCATGCGCGCTTCGCGCGCGGAAAAAACTCCTACAAACCACTCGGAAAAAGAAAACAAAATGACAGAAAGAACAGAACAGGTATGTATCGCACCGACCGTTCGAGAAAAGAGCCCTCGGACACCGATCAAAATAAAACAAAACAAAAATAACAGAAAAATTAAGGGGGACGCTTCCCACACCCGCGGTGTGTCGACTCCTGTAATACAACATTTGTGTACAGCAGTGGTGGTAGCAGTCAAATGACAGATATCGTCGGAGTCGGGTCCTGCGTATGTAGGCATCCAATTTGTATTTGCTATTGTCTGTGCTGCCGTAGCCGCAGGCAACATTCGTGAGGAAGGGCGACAGACGAAGGAATCCCGGTGACCCTGTATCTTGAGCGTTGGCTGCGGATCCGAGGCGAGGATCTCCAGTGTGGTCTACATATATAGACTATCCACTATCCACTACCTGATCTCGACATCTCGACGTTCATCGGTGGAACGAGACGGAAAGCGGGTCTCTCAATCTTCATTTCTTTGGGGCGATACCTCAGCATCGGGACTCATTTACCAAATGATGGTCATGGAGTGTTCGGGAGCCCTTGTGCGGAAATAAATACTCTGATGTGTACTGTAGTTCGCATACAGCAGTACATCCATTTCCCGGGTTTCCATCCCAAACAGCAAAGAAAATGTGCACGAGGGGCCTATTGACTTTCCGGCTTCCCATCCCAAATTTCACAGCAAATATGGATGTATGCATAGGCCCACTGACATATTTCTCGGTCCGAAAGAGAGAGACGATCCATTCCAACGTATCTTCGCCTCCGACGACCGCACCCAAACCTTACAGAAAAGATTCCGTCCCCTACACATTGATTTTCAATCAAAGTGTTGTTTTTTTCCATCGCCCTCCCCCATTAAGGCAAGGTGTCTTCCTGGTAGTCTATGAACTATTTCCCGTTTCTTGGACGAAGAACTGAGAACTTGCTGCTGTGTTTCTAGATCAGCTTGTGCCACCCTCCGTCACCTGGGATTTACAACGGAACCTTCGCCCGTGCCCTTGTCTCCCTGACGCGGATAGATGCACGGCCCCGCGCGCTTGCCTCACCGCGCACAATACGACAGCAGCTTTCTTCCATTCCTCATTGTCTCCGAGAATTGGCGGAGGAACTGAACGTTCCGCTACAAAACTTCAATCTTTCGATCACCCCTGCCAACTCTCTCGCCCTTTTACGCCAACAAAAATCCAGCACCACTTTTCCTATCCCACGTCTCCTCCTCCTCCTCCTCACACCACCCTCCCTTCCAAGACTGCAATGCCTACAGGCTAAAAAAACACTTGTCCAGCGGCAGTGTTTTCTTTGTGCCTCCTCTTGAGCTCTCTACTGCTGTTACCTCTGCCGTGTAGGCTGCGAAGGTAGCCGAAACACGCGCACGGCACAGCACAGCAGACTAGCAAATACAAACGCACAGACAACACCCACCCACCCGCAAAGGCCTTACTATAAGTGCGCAAATTTCACCATGATCTAGACCAAAAATCGATTGCGCCCCGTGATAGGGCGCCGCGGCTAGCTCGCGCATGCACGGGTGTTGACAATGGGGGGAAGGAGCTGCTAGCGTTTCGAGTAGCAACCACAGCAAACGCCGACGGCTTGTCGAAGCCGGCGGCACCTTTGTGGGGAATGTGGATACCTCCCTCCTCATTCTCCGCGCCTGCCCGAGCAAACTAACAATCCTAATAGTGATTGTGCCTTGTCTCAACGCACTTTGCGTTTCTTGGCCGGCCGTCCTCGTTTTCCGCTGCCGCTGCCGCCGCCCCCGTCCCCGCCCCCTGCACTGGAGGCTGATGATCTAGAAGGGGACGGAGGACCGCTGTGCTGGGAAGCGTCGTCGTCATCGGCAGCGAAGGGGTCGTCTCCCGCCGGCCCCGGGGATGCACGCCTCCCTGATGACGATGAACTCCCTCCTCCTCCGCCACCGCCTTTCAAGTCCCCCACCTGGATGATTACGGGTCGGACGCGTCGTTTTTTTGTGCCAAAGGGGTGAGGGTTATAGGGGGGCGGCGGTCACATGACGTGCTGCAGGGGGAAGCAAATCCAAAGTGGTAGGTAGGTGCAGGGAGAAAAACGTTTCATCAAAACGATGCAGAAAGCAAAGCACTGTCCGTCCGTACCTTTGTCAATCGGCGGCCTCTTTTTCCGGACGGAGGATTCGTCGCCGACGCCGAGGCACTGTTGCTCGCACCGCCACCGCGACTCCCGGAAGCGGACGAGGGGGGACCCGCGGATTGTGAACCCCCCACCCCCCCCGTCTCTTCGTCGACAACAGATGCCTGGCGACGTTCGAAAGGGAAGACAGCAGCAGCAGAAGTTAATTCTTCAGTTTGTCTCGTGAAAGCAGCGGTCTAATGTGGTTTGCAGTGCTAGTTTTCCCAGCGATGACGTTTGAGGCCCAAGAGGAAACGTTCCGCAAATACCCTAGAGAGGACTCACGCTAGCCTTCCATCAGGCGTTCTCCGGTTCTTGTTTCCTTTTCTGTTTTTTTTTGTCCTTGTCGGCAAATCTCTGTCTACGCGGCACCGTCAAGTGTCGTGGCGCAAGAAAAAAATAATACGCAGCATGTTGCCCCCCCCCGCGTCCGTCAGCACGATGCGATTACAGATAATAATATCCGCCTACAACATTCATCTGTACAACCTGTATTCCTCCATGTGTTTATTGTTCCCCATGCTAGGTGGTATCTACCGTATCTACCGCTTCTTCTGCCGTAGTTCTAGCACCTTCTTGCGCCGTCCAGGGGGCTGATGCGGCAGCATGTTCGACGCGATCTCCGACATGCCCGCATCGTCCACGTTAGCGTTGGACTGCAAGCATTGCCATACCAACACACGAGCAGTGTTCGGCGGACACAAAAAAGCGACGTCATCGTGAAAGGGCGTCAAATTAACGGAGAGACAGAGGGGACAGACTAAAAAGGTCGCGGCGAAAACAACGGCGCTGGCTGGCTGCAACCCTGTGGCAGCACAGTAATGCTGGGCCACCAATGCCGTAAAGTTTGCCGAGACTTCGGTTTCGGTGCATGAATGGAAGGAAGGTTGTTTGGATCAACGAAGCTGGACAAAAGCTCCTTTCGGGTGAAGCTAAAAAGGTCAAGCACGAAGAGCTTTGATTGGGGTTGTCCGCACACCCAACGATATATCCAACAACGATGATGACCACCATTAAACTATTTTGCGGTGCGTACACATGAAAAGTGGATTCCATTTTCGGCCCATCCATACAAATGCCTGTTGGAGTGCATGCTAACGGCTAGGGTTAACCCAAACACATATCCTCATCTCCGTTCCTACCGTCCGACCGCACACGCTTCACCAATAGAGCATTCCTCTCTCAAACAACGGCGTGGCGAGTGTCTCACGCGCCGCGGCGGCACAGCCTTTCACACCGCTAAAACTCCAAGAGCACAAACGAAAAAGCACGCTTGGTTCCTCCACACGAGGTGAACTAGGCGCTCTACCAAACGACCAACCAACCGTCTCAAGCGGCTTCAAAAATAGCGGCCTACATACAAAATCGGTCGAGTTTTTCGTCAGAATTGACGAGATCGTCTCACTTGATTTCCAAATTTAAATCCGTCCCAGCGTGTTTCGCGGTCCCCTTCCCGCTAGAGGCGTCAATCCGTCTAGCTTGGACTCTCACCAATAGAATCCAATGTGCACACTATCCTTATCCTCCACAATCGACGTCATCTCTCGCGCATTACAGTACTGTATTGTCGGAAAAGAACGGTAGCATCTCGTCCTCTTTCACCACCAAAATGATGCGGCGTTTTTGTTTCGTGTGCCTGTATTCCGTATGCAACTACTGTAGTGTTGTGTGTGTACGTACGTACTGAAGACAAGTGGTGGCACGTTTGTAAGCAACTACTTGGAAGTTTTTCACGTGCCATCACCACCAAAATGATGCCACCGCTTTCTTTTTTCTCGTGCGACTGTGACGGACAGACTCTGTTAATTGACGTTGTTTGCGCTTGTGCGTACATACCCTGCCGTATTGAAGACAGTGGTCCATGACCCACGCCCTCAGGCATACCGAAGCGTACGTCGCCGTCTGCAGCGCCAGCGTGTAGCAAGGAAGCACGCTGAACAGCCTGCGAGCGAAGGGGGAACAAGCGTGTGTGTGTTGTACAGAGATGCCACACACGGCGCAGTGACCAAAATGGACGGAACACAGCAGATCGAGAGAGGGGAGTGCCGAGAAGCAGACGGTTAGACAGGAGAGCAGACCGGCGAGGGGGGGCAAGACTACCAATGCATAAGCAGAAGAGCAGAAACAGCAAGTGGATAAGGGAGGATTGAAAGCCACACGATGAGACGAGCAGAGATTGGTGGGCAATGCCAGCGACATCATATCGCATGTCATCAAAACATGGCAAACAACAACAGCGCGTTCATAAGCACGTTCGTGCCTACAGGAAAAGGAGCGATAGGGAGGCAGGCAGAAACACGCACAAATGACTCACCCAACCTCCACGTCCCGATGGATACATCAGTGCTCCCTGGGGGTGAATGTCGACAACTCCCCACCTCGAGACTGAACAACAAAACCACAGGTTTGAGACACCGGTTCCCACCCAAAAAAAGAAACTGGAAACAAACACACGCCCATGTTGTCTTGCTTCCTCTTCTTTTTTCAATACCTCTTCCAGGAAGACTCCAGCCACCTACGGCAAAACCTTTGAGACACCGGTTCCCACCCAAAAAAAGAAACTGGAAACAAACACACGCCCATGTTGTCTTGCTTCCTCTTCTTTTTTCAATACNGGTGAATGTCGACAACTCCCCACCTCGAGACTGAACAACAAAACCACAGGTTTGAGACACCGGTTCCCACCCAAAAAAAGAAACTGGAAACAAACACACGCCCATGTTGTCTTGCTTCCTCTTTTTCTTTTCAATACCTCTTCCAGGAAGACTCCAGCCACCTACGGCAAAACCTTTGAGACACCGGTTCCCACCCAAAAAAAGAAACTGGAAACAAACACATGCCCATGTTGTCTTGCTTCCTCTTTTTTTTTTGAATATCTCTTCCAGGAAGACTCCAGCCACCTACGGCAAAACCTTTGAGACACCGGTTCCCACCCAAAAAAAGAAACTGGAAACAAACACATGCCCATGTTGTCTTGCTTCCTCTTTTTTTTTTGAATATCTCTTCCAGGAAGACTCCAGCCACCTACGGCAAAACCTTTGAGACACCGGTTCCCACCCAAAAAAAGAAACTGGAAACAAACACATGCCCATGTTGTCTTGCTTCCTCTTTTTTTTTTGAATATCTCTTCCAGGAAGACTCCAGCCACCTACGGCAAAACCTTTGAGACACCGGTTTCCACCCTTAAAAACTGGAGTCAAACACCAGACACACATCCATGCTGCCTTCACTACTGTACCTCTTCAAATTCTTTGAGACACCGTCCCCCACCCTAAAAAAATCGCCCCACGGAAACAAACAACGGATTCATTCATGCCTCCATTATCACCTCTTCGAGGAAGACTCCAGCCACCTCGGGTTGATGGACGACTCCAGCAGCAGCCACGCCTCCATGAGCTCAAGCGCCGTCGTGGCCTCCTGCACGAACGTGATCCACGGCTGGAGGAGTCCCCCGTCGAACCGGCCCCTTGCTCGGAGGCGCGCACCGCTTGGCAAGGCCGCCTGGATCTGGGTAAGTTTTTTTTATATATAATGCGCATTGCGGGGGAAATTTCCCAAAAAAATCCAGCAAAGCCAAAAAAATGTGAGACTCGGGGATGAAACGGGCGGGTGAAGAAAGTCTCAGCTGAGACGGCGCGGAAGTTTTCCCGAAATATCAAAAAATTCGTGAGACTTGGGGGGGAAAACGGGTGCGAAATTTCCCCGAATAATCTAGCCAAGCCATAAAAAATATCAGACTCGGGGATGAGACGGGCGGGTGAAGAAAGTCTCACCTGAGACGAACTTGGGGGATAGTGAACAACAGCAGCAAAGGAGTGCGCCAAGTGTAGGGATGCCGAGAAAGGGAGGGGGCCTGCTACCTCCTAGCCTGCTGTACCTCTGTGTCCATTGCAACGATCGACGTGGGAGGTCAGGCCGCAACCACCACAAGCAAACACGCAACACACACACACACACACACAGCTGGTGGGGAAGGCACAGCACACAAACACACACACACGCACAGACCGTACCGTACCGTACCGTGAGGATCATGGCCTTGGCCCTGGTCTGTGCGCTGCTCTCCGTCTCCGCTGTCGTGAAGGACGGGACGCTGCACCGTAGGCCCCTCGCTCGGCCGGGCTTGTCCATGTGGTGGCTCGCCTCGAGGCCCTGCAGCACCTTCGGCTGATTTATGTATCAACACAGAGAAGGGTGAAAAAAACAAACCATCACACCAAACCAACACAAACATTTTATTGTCAAAAACTATTTTTTCATAGATCTGGTACACATCTACAAGCGGGTGGTGGAACGACGAGGTTCAGGTTATCGTCCCGCTGGGTGCTACGCTACAGGCCCAGACGTGTGTGTGTTTTCATAACTAGCATCGACCGGCTGACCAATGACAAGGCGCCAGGCTTCCAGCGGAATAAAAAACACACTTTAACACTATCTAATCAAAGGGTAAGTGTGTGTTGTGTGAGTCCACGGCAGGCTCAGGTTGGGAGGAGGGAGGAGGGCGAACTCATGCTCTTTCATGCCTTGGCGGTTAGGACCATTGACCGTCTGGGGGACACGACACGGGAGCGAGAGAGCAGGGGTGGCGAGTGCAGGGCCGGCTCTATTTTTCTGTTTATTGGGGTTGTCACCTGTAGGTACTCGTCTTCTTGACGCGGGAGCCCTGGGCCCGTGCCCCCTCTTGCTGTAACAGCACCACCAGAGGAAGGCGACATCCTTTCTTCTTCTTCCTCCTCCTCCTCCTCCTCCTCCTCCTTTTCTGGCCCTTCAACCTCGGTGGCGTCACCCTTGCCGCCGTCGGCCAAGGACGAGAGGGCGGAGGCTCGCTCCCATCTGCTCGTTCGTTCGTTCGTTCGTGTGAAGCGCGGGTGATGAGTCGGAAGACCTCACAAGCCAGCCCCGTGCACCGTTTTTAAGTAGTACGAGGTACTGCATTGTTCATTGGATGGTGCTGGGAGGGAGTCGAAAAAACACCGGTATTCCGTAGCTGGAGCTGAAATGGAGACACACAAAACCCCACCGGACGAGCATAAGCACAATTCATTGCGGCCAGAGACACGTGCCGAAACCGTGCAGACTTTTTTTTGTATCTGTTTCCGTCCCTTCTGTCACCATGTGTTCCACACGACACCCGTAGTGGCATGCATTCCAACAACCATTTCCCTCGAGTGCGTACCTGTCGAACCTCCGACTCCAGCCCCGGAAGGACACCAGGTACCAGGCCTCCCCCCCCACACTGCTCGAGGCGCTCGCGGAGCCCCCCGACTGAAAAGAAAGAAACCGCATCCACATCAGCAAGATTTTCGAGGGGGGAAAGTTGGGGCGAGGTACAGCATTGCCATTACAAGGGTTAGGGAGCTTGGGGGGGGCACCGCAGGTGTCAAGAGCTAGGGATACGTATGCTATCATCAGCCATGGGGACGCCAGGATTCTCTTTCGGAAACAACGAACAGAGCACGTTCAACACTGCTGTAGCACACGGTATGTTCCTAGACTCTGTTCACAACAGGAGAGAAAAGTTTTATTGCCCGCGAGTGAGTTTTGTTAATGTGGGCCTATTTTCGTTCGTTTCCGTTGTTGTTGTTTGCCTCTTTTCACGCTGAAAAACGTTCCGACAACGTTCCGGTGCGCTCCTCGTCTCAACCGTGTTAGTCGAGCCAGAGCAGGTGGTTCCCCCCGTGGGCAACACAACATACTGTGATCCAACACATGGCCCAAACTACAAGAAAAACAAACGAAATGTGGATACAACTACAAGAGGCCCCGAGTTTGACCCACGCATCTCCCACGCAACCAATCATCCTTCGGACTCGTACAAAATAGACACGCTCCATCAATCGGGTGCCCTGCATATTTTCTTCCACGGCACTCACACAGCGTGCGCGGGGGTGCACCACAACCAACCATCTATCGATCGATCCATCGATCGATCGATCGATCATGACAAATAGGGTCCTCTCCCGTACAAAGGGGTCCAACAAAAAATATATATATATATATTTCGCGCGAAGCTCGAAAAGAAGGGTCGGAGAGAGACATCAAAGCAAGCGTAGATAGATATGGATGGAGCCTACTGTACGCCACCACGGAGGTCGCCAGTGCGTACGCTCACACCTCACCCGATACCACCAGTCAGTCAGGGGATGATTGGGAGCGCTGTTTAGCTCTCATCATCGCCAGCTCAGCGGCAGCAGTGCTGCTGCTGCTGCTTGCTGTTGCTGCCGCTTGTGCTGCTTTGCATGGATGCGCACTTCCTTTCTTCGTTTTCGCTACTACTGTAGCAAAGGGCAACGGGCTCTAAAAATTGGCCCGGACCCCTCCCACGACGTGTGTATTTGGCCGACCTTGGCTTACAGCGCTTTGTACGTCTCACTTGTCTCTTTTTCTGGGGTGCTTCTGTGGTGGAAGCAAAGATCGGCCGGCAGACGAAGATACCGCAGACAGAGGTCCGACTTGTGTGCACTCGCATATTCCCTCGCTTACACTGCTAGCAGTAGGCCTCGGGGTCTAAAAATAGCTTCCGACGCCAGCCATGATGTGTGCCTTTGGCCGGCCTTGGCCTACAGCAGTGTGTAGGCCTCGTTTTCTCTATTGTGGGGATGCGTCTGTGCGGGAAGCTCCAAAGGTCGGTAGGTTGAGGGTGATGCAGACCGACCGCGGATTGACTTGCGTCGTCACCATCGGGCTGTAAGAGTCATACCCAACGCCTCCCGTGATGTGTGCCTGTGGCTGCCCTTGGCCAAAGCAGTCCGCATACTACTGTACTGGTTGTATCGTATGTTTACGTGATGTGTATGGTGCTGCTGTGCAAGAGGATTTCGGTGATTCTGCCGAGAGCGTCGTGCCCATCGCCCAATCATCTCTCTGTCTTACAAAATTTCTTACAAACTAGACGGGTGATTGGTGGGAGATGGACACCTACCCGGCTCTACCCCTCTAAAACATAGATAATTGTTGAAAGTTCTTCCGTGTCTTACAAAAAAATTGCCCTATTTATGGGTGCTCTGCCGACAAATAACCCTGTTGGGTTCGTCTTTGGGTCGACAAAGACGCCTTCCTACCCTTGGCACGCACACTGCTGTACGCACGCAACACCGCTCACCGTGGCGCTCGCGCCACCGCCGCCGCTGTCGCCGCCGGATGAGTGCCGTACCTCCCTGACCACCGCCTCCCATGTCCGAGCGGCCGTCCCCACCTAACGGAAGATAAAGAACAAGACCAAGATACAGCACCACACAAATAGATACGAGATGAGGAGGGCAGAGGCTCCAATATTTCCGCCAGCAAACGCGGTGAGAGAACAGCTGAGCTGGCTACCAACGCGATCGTGAGGAGACTGCAAGTACCCTTAAACCACACACGATTGTTGGGTGCGGGATTCATCAAGGTACAGCCGAGCTGACACGGGCGGCTGGGTACACACGCGAACGGCAGAAATCAACCGCAGTACCCTCAAGCACAACACTCAAAACACTTGGGGGTACGGGAGTATAAATACGGTACAGCAGATAACACTCAAAACACACACACTTGGGTACGGGACAAAAAAAGGTACAGTGGGCGGGAAAAAAAAAAACATGCACCTGTTTGGCAGAACCATCGCCGCGAGGACGTCCCCCCCCCTCCCTCCTCCTGGAAACCCACACCTTCTCTCCGGGGGCAAAAGCCTTCGCCCCCTCCCCCCCCCCGCCCGAGCTACTGCTCTTGTTCAGGAAAACTTGCGACGACGGCTGCTTCTTCACCACCACCGTCAAAGGAGACGGCGTTTTGATCGGGGTGTCCGAGGAAGGAAGGGGGGTGGTTTCTTCCGTCACGTGGTTTCTACTAACGCCGCGCTCGGCGGAGGCGGCTAGGCGGCGCGGGAACGATGGGTCCTGTGTGTTGTAGGGGAAGAGGGGGGAGGGTGGGGGGTTGGGAAGCCAGATTTTGAGAGACAGGGGGGGGAAGGAGGGGGCGAGGTGCAAGATAGTACACATGAAGAGGGAAACTTGTGTTCGAGTGGATTTTTTTTTTGGGGGGGGGGGCGGGAAGGGGGGCGAAGTTGACCAAAACTGCGATAGCTACGTCTGCGACGACTACGTTGTTGGTCCCCGTGACGCTTGCAAGGGCGTCTTCGTTGCTTTGTACCCCCCTGGGAGGGAAGCGTTTCTCGTCTTTCCTCCTCTCTTTTCCCGGTTGGCTTGCAGCACGGAAAAGAAAGGTGCCAAGTTTCATCGACCCATGGGTGTCGTTTAGGTAGCCCCATGTCCCTCCCGTCTTGCTCTCTCTTCGCACCCTATCCGGAGGGATAGCATCCCAATAGAGACCATTACTACAAGCCCGTTTCGATTAACCTCCTAAAATCATGAGTGGATGGCCGGGGAAACAGAGGAGGGAGAGGCCGATAGTAGCCCGCGTCACGGCGGTACCTCACACAAAAAAAAGGAGTCCAGTCCCCATGACCCCCAAACCCCACAGCAGTTCACAACACAACATGCCGTGCACCAGACATACTCAAGTTCGTCCTAAAATACTGACGTACGTCAGGTAGTTCCTCTGTTAACACCATCATCCGTCGCGCCGCAGGTCGCACAGGATGGCGCGCACCTCTTGACATAAACGAGCACGCACTAAAAAAAAAGACGACCCACCCTCAAGACTTCAACAGCCTCAGGGAAATGGCGAATGAGAGCCGCCTGGAGCCACCTCTCTCTTGGCAGCCTGGGACTCAGCCCGAGCATCAGCCCCGCCACCGCATCCTTCCCGGTAAACACCTGCGGCGCGGGCGACGCAGCGGGCATGCGGACGATATACATTACATGGACGACGGAAGAAAAAAAAAACGGGAGTATGATGCATTCAAACTACGTTCAGTTAAACAACCACCTATTTGGAACCTGTATACTGACTGACTGGGCTTGGGTGACACGTGGCCCGGAGACGATCGACCTTGCTTGCGGAGGGCCTGTTGAAGAGAAGATAAATACGTACGGACGTTATGATACATTCACACGACATTCAGGTAACGACCATTCAGTTGCGAGCTGTACTCAATTGAAACCCTGTGGTCACTTGTGCGGGTGACACGTAGTGCGGAGGAGACGATCGACCTGTTCGCCCGCGCAGGGTGCGTTGACGGGTTGGCCACAAGACGTCCGGCGACATCATCAACTTCCCGGAAACGCCACCCACGCCACAAGCTTGAGCGATCCATAATACATTTTCACGAGACAATGACACTAATCCAACCCCAACCCCAATTGTTGTGCAAGATGCCACCTACTTCAGTTGTGTTCTAAGACCATCATAAGTGCCCCTTTCTCGACTGCCCCCCCCCCCCCCCCCCCCCCCCCCCCCCCCCCCCCCCCCCCNCCCCCCCCCCCCCCCCCCAACCCGAAAAGTGAAGCGGGGCTCCAAGTGTCCTGTCTCTGCAATAGGACCCACATATACTTCGAGCATCTACATGGACCAGCACGATTGCCGCTCCAATCCCAGGTAGGAAGAGATCATGGCCGGTTGCCGCTTGTCGATTGCGCCACGCTTGAGTGCGTATGGCATCGGCTTTAACAAGGAAACAACAAAACGACATCAAAGCCACGACAAAACACATCAGCCTCACACTTGTTCGTCCCCCTCTCCACAACCCAAACAAAACAAAAACATCCCCCACCAGGCACATGACTGCGATACCACCAACTCCCCCCTCTCCCCCCCGTGTGCCATGCTCCAATCTCTCCAGGAAGTGTGGTCAATGGTCTAACCGCATCCGCAACATGATTACGCCCCGGTGATTGCCATCAGAGTTGGGTTGCCGCTTGGCAACGACGTTGTAAAACAAGCCGCCCAGGACCGGGGACATAGGCCTTCGAGAACGTCGACGAAGACATAGGACGGTAGACGAGGAAGACGACGAGTTCAAATGTGATTGCGGCTTCGAATGCGAAGACCGTGTTCATGTAGTCGCGGAATGTCCGTTGTACAAGAAGGAGAGGGAAGTGTACGTGACTGAGCTGGGAAAAATAGATGGAACGTACAGGGAGATGTTTGAGGCATGGAATAGAGAGGAAAGGACGGTAGCTGTACTGGGGCATAGGAGGTGGGTTGAAAAGGCGGGAAGGGATATCGTTAGGATAGACAGACTAGGGAAGACATTTTTGAGCCACCTTTGGCAAAGTAGAAAGGAACGATTGGCCATCGGTGATCGGTCCTGTGGGAACAATGCTCCGTCCTCTCGAGGACGCGTGGTCAATGGTCTAACCGCTAAGACATGCAAAATATAAGAGTACGCCCCCCACCCCACCCCACCCCCCGGT